ACAGAGAAAAAGTCGCTAGGTGCCCCTGTATGGTGTTCGCGTCCTGGGCGTCCTCCTGAACAGAAGAATTTTATAATAGGCAGTTTCCCGTCGCGGTCGTACAACGACCGGCAAGAAAAACTGCGTAATGCACGTGCAAAGTCGTTGTATTCGCCGGTCTTGTTGTTCTAACATGTATGTTTAGATCTATGGCCACTACGACAAAACAAAAACCTTGAATTTGGAGCCGATCCTGCTAGTAACAATGTTGCTTTGAAAAGCAGAGAGAACCTAACTTTGCAATGGAAGAGTCCTTATAGCGGAGCACCATGGGTAAGAAACTGTGGTAAACTACCCATCCGAGAAAATTTGGTAATCACGTGACCGTACACCGACCGACCGACCGTCCGCACCACAGGCATTCCAATGTAAAATAAGTCAATCAACAGGTATGGCAACCCAAATGCAACTCGAGGTTATTTTGACGGGAAATCGCATATCCGCCCACGTCTTGTAAAGCAGAAACAACTAGAGAGTCAATGAAGAGGAAAATGGAAAGCGGAAATTGTCTCTGTATCCGTGTTTTCTTAAGTATTAAGCTTAGATTAATTGTCACGTCCACAAATTTGGAATATAGAGCAAGAGAAACACAGAGAAAAAGAGAAAGTAGGCGGCAGGCCAGCGAAGCTCAACGAGAAAAGGGGCGACAGAGATTTAGAGCAAGAGATAAAAAACAAAGGAGACATTTTTGTTTTGTTGGAAGAACAACATGAAAATTTTGTAACGGCGGTAACAAAATGAGAAATGCTAGCGGCCACCAATGCAAGGTGAAAATAAGCGTCAGTGAAAAAAAAGTGAACGAAAAAACGTGTAACTAAGAAGTTCCTGGAAGTTTCACGTTGTAGTCGTGCAAAACAACAGCAAAGAAATGTAAAAAAAGGGGTGCTGCACGTGCAAAGTTGCGTTTTTGCTAATTAGACCTATTGTTGTTTTTCACCGTTCTCCGGCGTTGCCTTCACCGCTTAGGATTACATGATTTAATATTTTGTTTGAACAAACTATAAATATTATCGAGAGCTTCGCTTTTAGCCCTGGCTAAATCTATGTATTAGGTATAGTGCAATAGTATTGGAAACCGAAAAATCAGAACACGATGGAATGCTACTAGTCAGTCACAAATGCATTAAAAATCGTCCGAAAAAGAACGGTTGTTACATTTTTTCTTCCCCTTGTCAATGTTTTTTGCACAATGGCCGTTTAATTCTCTTTGGTCATCAAATGAAGATAAATCATTTAAAACTAGATACGATTCAGGGTATCTAGCGACCAGAAAAACACAGTTTTATGTTTGAAAAAAACATCAAAGAACTTTACTCTTACCGAACAAGTGAACAGTGCTCTCAATAACCTGCGCCCATGAAGTGTTTCGTCTCCCTTGCAGGGGCGTAGTTACACGCACCAATTATAAAAACGCAGCAACAAAAATACTAGACAAAACTAAAAACAGAAACAAATACGGTGAAAACGCATTTTCTGTAAAAAAAAGGCATTTTTTGGTAACTCAAACTTAACTCAAACTCAACTCAAGCTCGTAACTCGATAAATAGCCGATCCCGTTGAAAGAGATGAGAAACTTATGCATCATTTTTGAGAGATGGCTTTTCAACCAAGTCACTCTTTGTACTTTCATAGGTGGTTAAGCAATGTTCTATGAAATAATTAAGTACATCAAGGTATTCAGCGGTATGCTCTCTGTAATGATTCACATGTTTAGATCTCTCCCAGCATTTGGATACAACGAAGATCCCCCTTTCTTTCCGTGCCTGTGAGTAATTCTCAATATCTTGGTATGAAGCCAACTTATCAGCCTTGGAATAAAGAAGTAATTGAGGACACTGCAGTGGTGATTCTGTCAAACCACTCATATAACGCTTCACTGTGCTATTAAAGACAAGCACTGCTGGAATGATAATTCCCATGGAATGCCACAGGATACTTTTAAGTACTGGGCTTCTTATCATATCAACAACGCTCTCTTTGGTTGCCTTAAGGCTATTGAAATCCGGACGGATGGGGCAACTGTCAAATATTGTTCCTACAATAGGCACTCTTTGATAGGATGGCCGTGTGGAATATGAAACGGCTTCCATCATATGAAAAAACATAGCACAGCCACCATTGCTAAATGCATACAGGAATACAGGTCTCTCTTGGCCATTCAGATCACTTAATACATCCAAAATGTGCAAGCTAATTTGCTTAACCTTGGTTCCAGCTCTAAGAAAAGTGTTAAATGGCTTAGCGGGAACACAAATAGTACAAAAATCCTTTTCTTCAAATATCTTGCTGTACTTCTTAAGATGTTTTACTTTAGAACCATTCCAACCAAGAATGATAACAACTGGACTGCAGTGCGATGCTGTTTCTGTGATGACTGCATCAAATTTACTATGGTAAGAGGAACCTGTGCGGCCCTGCGTGTAACATGTAACACTTCCTCCGGCCTTCGACACCACGGCTTTGATGGAAGGTCTTACCATTAATACAGGACATACTGTAATTAGAAAAACGTAGCATCATGAGCAAAATAAACATCTACAAAAGATTCAAAAAGAGATAATAAATATACAACTGCATCACCTTAGCGTTAAGTTCGATGCATCAGAATTTGTTATTTCCTGCGGTTCTAAGAATAGTAGCAAATTATGGAAGGTTGTCATGGAGAGGTGACAGTAAATAAATATTTGACGAGACTCGTGCCATTGATTTTGTTGCCTATTCTTAGACATCGTGGTTAGTACGCAGGGACAGTGGTCATCCAATGAAAAAAGGAAGGATTTCCACCTAGCGAGAGCTTAGAGCTCTTGATTACATGTTATTTTGGAAACTCCCGCAAGTGAAAAAACCAGTAGTAACACACTGACAATCCAAATTAAACCCGCATAATCGATTGAGACAGTCCGAAACCTGACGGCAAAACACGGGTAGAAGAAATTGTGTAATTTTTTTTAACAGATATAGCTTTTCAGTTAAATATTCCAGCCTGGATCCCACGTAGTAAAAACCCCCACTTCCTTATTACTACCTCAGCAAAATCACCAATATTAACGCCCAGGACACACACCCAGATATTTTCCCATAAACACTTAATGAGGTCCTTTCACTCTTGATAAGTTCGCTACATGGTAGTTAAATGCCAGTAATTCCTGTTTCTACAACGCACTGAAGGTGTCGATGCCTTTACCAAACATTGGCAGAGGTAACACGTCCAAGTCAAATAATCAGATAAGATAGTGTTAATAATACCCCTTTAGAAAGGGGCTGAGGCCTTGTCTCTCAGCTTCTCTCCGTTTGTCCGGTTGGCATTCGTCTGGCTAAAGTGTAGTAGACTGAGTTGGAGTTCTGAGGAAATTCAGCTTAACTGCCACAACTAATGGCACAACTGACTGTTCTTTGTTGCAGGGTTGAATTTATAGCACTGTGTATAAACTGGCAGAATATACGCAAAGGCAATAGTGTTAGGGGGTTTTTTTTGTCAACCAAAGGTTTGTGCGGATTAGGTTCAAACGGCTAAACAAGTCTTGATACCTACATATAATATCGACATTGTAGAGAACGGTCAGTATAAAAGACGGACTGCCGACTGCGGACTGCGGACTGGGTATAAAATACGGACTAGGTACAAAACACGGACTGGAAAATATGGACCGAGCGTAAAACATGGACTAGGTATAACCTGTGGACTGCGGACTGGGTATAAAATACGGACTACGGACTACGATGGTAAAAAAGGTGCCAATTGGTTCTAGGTAAGGAAAAATAAAATAAGATCAGAAGATCCCTAAATAGCAAGACACGTGAGTTTAAGTTATAAATACACCTAGAAATTCTTGGTGGGGGTGTGCCGCCCGGTTCTCTCAATCATGAGCCTAACAAAAATGCTATTTTCTACTCCCATTTTATTCAATCATGACAGCGATCAGGACCCGGGGAGGTATCCCCTTATATAAGCCATGTAGGTGTGTGCCGCCCTGAAAGGTAGGATTTTTGGGCCTTTTTGGTCTGAAAACACTTTGCCCATTTTGGTCTGGAATCGGGTACGGTTTTCGAGTAAACTACGGGAGTGTACATGTATCAAGGTACTTATGGTTTCAATTCCAAATGAATAAGAACGAAATAGAAATATGTGAATTCGAAATGCATTTGAAGAATTGATGTTTTTGTTTACGCCCTAATCTGATACTGAATGATGACATAATTTCTGCCTTACCACGCCTAGCCTGTTCCAGGCCCCGAGATAGTTGCATAGGCGTACGGGCCGGGGGGGGCGAGGGGGGCTGCAGCCCCCCCAAAGTTTGGGCAACTCAGATTTTTTGGGCAGCACGAGAAAATTTGGGCAAAGACGTCTCCATGTTTTTAGTATTATTTTGAAGAGATAAATATATTCTATTTTAACCTGAAGTCGGCGTAATAATACAGTTACATTGACACTAGAGTGTCTGCCTAGCACATGACGAGTTTCTGGTTGTAAGGGAAAGGTATCATATGCTGATTTTTTTTTTTTATTGTTGGGTCCACGTTTTTGAAAAGATTGAAACTACTATGAGGTGAAATTGCATGTCAAAAGTGCATCGTTTTCTACAGATAACGGCCAAACATTTTTCCTTTTTTTTACCGTATTTCCAACGATAAAAACTTTATCCCAAAATATCTCGATAATGCTTTTACAGATTCCGTTTTAACGTCACGAACATCGAGGCGACTATTAGAGGAAAAAGCTCCTGTGATCGATTTTAGAAGAACAGTTCCCAGAGAGAAATATTGCTGCAAGTATAATAAATAATGGCTTCATTTCGTTGCTACAACAACTCCGATGTCATTGCAACCCTGATCACAACAAATTTTCATCTTTATCTAATACACCTGTGGTGGCAACTTTTCCAAATGTTTGTTTATGGCGACGTAGTTTATGCTCAAACTTGGCAGGTATTGACCCTGAAAAACTGTATGGAGCCATTTTCATATGCCAGTACGGCCTATCTTGTTACATCGGCTCTCGTTTCTGTTCGACTGTTTTGTAAAAATTTGGGCAACTTGCAAAAATGTTTTGGGCAAATGGTTTACCGCCCTCCCTGGCAAAAAATAGCCCGTACGCCTATGGATAGTTGGGTCCGCTGAATTAAGAAAGCGCGAACACGAAAACAAAGCGGGAAGAAACTGGGAGTCTCCCCTACTAATTGACAGTCTGGAACAGGCTAAATTAGGCCAGGTCTGAAAATGGGTATGGATTTTAGAGATCTGGTCTGAAAAAGAGTGTGGAAAACGACATTTTTGGGTTTGAAATGGGGTCAGATTTGGAGAACCGGGTGGTCCACCCACACCAAGAATTCACAGAAGTACCCCCCTCCGGGGGTCAGGGGCAGGGTGTAAATCATGTCATCATAATCATCGCTTAGAATATAACGTTGGATGATTCATTTCAGTTATTATTCATGTATAAGTGAGTAATCCCTCCACCCTAAATACTGCTATTTTACATCGCGGAATGCCCCTATATTGACCTTCTCGTCTGACTTGTTCATTTCTTCATTTCCAAGGCTTTATTTGAAACGGAATAGTGGCATCTACAAGAATTTTACTCTGACTAACACCAATACTATTTTTTTTTATTCAGTCCTTCTCATTGGTTTAAAACTATAAATTGAATTCTCTTCCAACTCCTTCTTTTTATAAAATTCAGAGTTTAAATTCATTTCCCTTAAGTAGCGGCATAACCTTCCTTGTCTGTGCAGTATGCTTTCCTTCTCCACATGACGCTGACGTTGGGGAGATTAGACTGCGTGACCAGCAAAAGGAATGTTTGTGTGTGAGGCAAGGAGCTGGGACTACTGTTTTATGCTAGTCCGCTTTCCGTTTATCTCGGTTTTACCTTTCTAAAGCTGTTTTTACATACATGGTCCATAGTCCGCGTTTTATACTCAGTTCGGATTGCGTGTTTTATACCGAGTGTGCAGTCCGTGGTCCGCAGTCCGTGTTTGACACCGACCGTTGTAGACAATTCTTTACCCACAGGTACTAGTAAACCAGGAAGCCCACAGGTGGCTCTCCCTTATCTACAGGAGGCAACTGACCTTTTTTCACATCTTCTCGTGAGAAAGACACGTCTTGTTAACGGGGGGATATAAAGATAAGAGCCAACAAGCGACGGAACAAGTCAATAAATAGCAGGTACCATAATTCATATTTCAAAATGGTTGTGGGAGCTGTCTCAACAATGACGTAATATCGGAAAACAGCTCTTAGCCTTACCGACACGTGTATTGCATACCACACGACGCACACTCTACCTCTTCTGTTTCTTACAAGTCAAAATAATTCCAGTCAAGGCCCAAGGAGAGAAATTCAAGATTCACATCTTTCTTACTTTAGTAATTGTTATTAATTTTTTTCCGTTCTCTATGGTTCCGCGCCTGTATTTAAACGAGACGCAGTTGGTAATGTGATGGCCAACTAGAACATCGAATACTTTACTTAGCCATCATGTACTCGAAACTAAATATTAACTGACCAGAAACATAACTAGACTCGCCAAAAGGCGAATTCACTGGGCTGCTTCTGCTAACACTAGACAGAAATATTGTATTGTATAAAAACGAGAAGTTTACTAAAACAGACAACAAACTGCCCATTGCTCCCGATCCATCGGTCTCATTGATTACACTGAAACGATCTAATTTGCAGTCTGCAGCGGTCTACATGAAAAAATATTCAGTTTTAGATTATTCTCTTGGGATTTTTTTAAGTTAAAAAAATAAAAGCCTTTGCATTTTGTGACTTTGGTTGCTTTCATCGGAACGCACTTTAAACAATGTACATTGTAAACAGATGAAACAATCGATAACGTATTTTTTACCGTGATACTAGTTTGAGTTAAAAGTTCGCTCGAGTTCGCCTTTTGTCTCACCGTGACTAACTTTTTTTCAATGCAGAAAATTACGCCGCTTTATAACTCCTCCGAAGTTTTTGTGCCAGCTAAACAATATCGAAACACTACTCACAGTCTTCGTATAATAAAAAGACTGAACAAAACGCACAATAGGGCCATTTACACGAGGAAAAATAAGACGCGTCTTACATAAGACGCGTCTTAAGGTGACTCGACCCAGTTATTTTGTGAGGGTACCATCCTACTTTGAAGCTCTCTGCTATCCCCACCTTTACTTTGATCGCAAGTCTAACAAATAGCATGGATAACATACAAATCAATCTACAATATAGCATAAGATTTAGGAGGAATTCTGGTCTATGGCGTTGCTGGGCTAGAGACTTTTATTTTTCCAAATTAGATCACTGTTTGTAAATTTTCATAAAACAAAAAAATTGTATAACCAAATAAAATAAAAATTACAAAATAAATCAAAATAAAAAGTAAGAAGAAACAATTAAAGTTTAAAAAGGGAGAATGTAAAAAAAAAATAAGATAAAAATTATCAAAAGAAACGAAAATTTTAATAAAGATAAAACTAATTAAAAGAAAGGAAATTTAAAAAAAGATAAAAATAATCAAAAGAAAACAAATTAAAAAGAAAAAATATAGGAAAATAGAATGGAAAGTGTCAAAATTTCACCAAAAAAAAGCAAAATTGCTATGGCGTTAGCGGGCCACCATACAGATGGGTCCTTGCAAGTCAGCAAAAAACTTTAGGGCCTTGTAAATGTGCGCGATTTCGAGCAATGCGAACATACCATATTATAGGAAATTGATGCTACATGAAATTAACGCGAATCGTTAAAATTCGCGTTAATTTAAGTCGCTTTAATTTTGTTGAGCGTTAATTTCCGCGACGTTAATTAAGTGCAGCGTTAATTTCCGCGCTCTTAATTTCCAGTATTTTAACTCCAATTTTGGAACCTATCCAGACATTCTTGACACCTAAAAAACATTAACTACAAGCTTTCTTTCTTTCCATTTACCCTTTATTTTAATTTCATCTTTCACAAAAGCTAAGGCGAAGGTTTACAATATTTTCGAGTTCATCTTCAGCGTTGTCGCTGTCAGAAGTGATGTCAGCTCAGGTTTGGTCAGTTTTGGATTTTTTTGCATCCAGTGTTGAAATAAATTTGTCCAACCGTGTCTCAATCGCGTTAATTTCCTTTATTATGAAATTCTACCTCATCTTTCGCGTTAATTTTCTTTATTCGAAAGTCGTTTTCCATTAAATCGGCGTTAATTTAAGTCGCGTTAATTTCCAATACCTTAATTTCATGGAGCGTTAATTTCCTATAATAAGGTATACAAATTATAGTTTTAGCTAGTTGTTGACGTTTGCCAGCGTTTAAGAGTCCTCCTTCTCACGAAAAAAGCATTTTCTTAAAAATTCGTAGTTTTTTTCCTTCAAATTTTTTCAGGGCCACAATTGATTAACTGACTACCCGAATTCTGAATTTCATGATCATTGAAAAACTGTGACATTATCTTCTATTAGCCCAAACTTGAGTAAACATTGAAGATTTTTAGCGTATTGGCTGGGTTGGTGCTTTGGGAGTTTTCTATTGTTTCTAGTCTGTCATGATACAACATTCTTGTTCAGCACGCGTGCAATGACCGCGCTTGGCTGACTTCCGAAGTCCACCTAAGCTGTGAACAGGCTCTCCCCACCCCGCTCGACTAAAGGCCTGTTCACAGGCTAAAGTCCACCGAGATATGATAATTTTGTATGAGAAAATAGAAGGGATTCCCGTCACGTAACGTCTAAGACATGAACACCCTCAGCGCTTTGTATACTGTGGGAGGTACAAGGGCTTTGCTGACAATTTCAGCATTACCTCTAAGCAAGACGAGCAAGAAAGATTCTAGAGCGAAACCAAGAGTCACAAAAAAGTGACAGTGCTTACAAGCGTAATTAATTTTTTCACTACCAGATAAAAGGATAAGTAATGAGCTGGTTTAATTATTGGCTTGCATTAAACCTATGTAAAAATGACATTTTTTTTAATGGTAAGTAGATTTAGTGTGTAGCATTTCTTGATTTTTTTGCAAAGGCACAAGAAGCACGAGAATTGATTAAAAATCGCCTGTCTCACCGTACCAAAATTATCATATCTCGGTGAGCATTCGGAAGTCAGCCAAGCGCGGTCATTGCACGCGTGCTGAACAAGAATGTTGTATCACGACAGACTAGAAACAATAGAAAAGTCCCAAAGCACAAACTCCGCCGAAACGCTAATCAGATGCCAGGAAGGCAGCACGCTTTATAACAGGCGACTGCAAGATGTTTCAGTAACAATGTTCAAATATCATATGGGGCTATAAACTACATGTTTGAGCGACATATTTGTAACTAAGTCCCTCAAGTACAAACATCAACTGCTCATTTGTTCGTCTTAGTGAGTTTGGGGCTCTCACAATCGAGGATATTAGCATCACGCTCATTTAACCATCACTACGGTTTCTCTAAACAAGACTTACCAACATCGAAAGTGATGAGTAGATCAGATGGGCATACCTGTCCTTCTTCTAGTTTAGAAAAGTGCATGAATTTAACAGACATTAATGCATCCAAAGTTTAAGAATTTTTTTTCAACCAGTAGCCAAACACCTAAAACGGGAGGATTTTTACGCGCGTTTTTAGTAATCATAGACATCATTAACTTACACTAAGACTTACACTTACACAAAGTCTATGCACTCACTCGTGAAATATTTTTCAACACTCGAAGAAAAATTTCGTATCCCCGCACGGCCCTGTAATATGCTCTCTACATTTTATTTTAATTTTATTGTAGTTAGAAATAACTAATATCAATTTGGTTTTTAAAGAACACTCTCCTATAGAGTCATTAATCTAAGAACAAAATGACTATGCTAGACAGTAAATTCACAGAAGTCTCAAAAAAATCATGACCAATAAAGCAGCTGGTCCTGATGGGATAGTAAGTAACATTGTCACATTATCTGGCCCTGCATTTTAACAGTGGCCTGGCAGAGTAGTTTTACCGCATCATTCCAGGTTCGCCGACGTGTGCATCCCATTTTCAAGAAAGATTCCAGATGAGATCTTGCTAATTATAGACTTTTTCCCCTATTACATACATGTATTCCTTGTAAATTCCTAGAATACCAGATCTGCTATGCAATAGATGGATACCTAAACAAGTTCTCACTAAAGAGTCCATCCTGATGGGGTTTCACCAAAATAAAGGTCCGAATTTCAGGTCCATGCTTGCTGATTTTTAGAAAAGCATTTACAGGTGTAACAGCATTTTTCATCACATTTTATTACAATACATCCCTGCCACCTCCCTCAGTGCATGGTGTGCATAACAAAAATCGACTTTGAAGAAGCCAATGCAGGGCATAATTATTTAAGGTCATTTTAATTTTTTGTTTTGCTGCAAGTTGCCTTCTGCCTGTCATGAAACATTTGAAAATAGCCTGAAAATAGTGCAGAATGATTGTGTTAATTCATGTGTTTAATTCTCAAGCCATGAATTGGGGGAGCACTCTTTCAATAATGTATGACAATGGAGATTTTGAAGCACATTTGAACACTCCTGGCGTTAAGTTAGGTCATGCGAGGCAAGCAAATTTCATGATTTCTGGTACAAAACTTCAAAAACTACGTGGCACTTATTTTCCTGGGGCCGGATGGCACGAAAAGCATTGGAAAAGGGAATAATTGAACTAGCAACACTTTTTTTCCTCTTTTGTCAGGGGCAGCAGTGGCAATTGACTCAAAAAGGCACAAAAACAAAATGTACACTTTAAATACCACCTTAAGAGTATAAGCTTTAAGTTGACTTTAACCACCATTCTCAACAACATTTTGGATCAAAAGGTGTAAAATTTTCTATTTTACGATGTATTTTTTCTAATTACTTGAATCTTTAGCCAAGAAAAGCCATTACAAAATACATTTTCAATGTATGAGATCACATATCTTCCATGATATTAAGCTCTCTAAAGGAATTTAAATGGTCAGCCTCTGATCGAACTGTAGTAATTTTTGCTTTCATGTTGATCAAAGCTCTTCTGGGTTTATCATAAATTATTTGCTGTGGTTGCTTGAATATGACATTAAAGCAGGGTGCAACGGAAGTCAGCTCTACAGCTTCATGTACTAGACAGTGACAGTCATTTTAACTGGATTGAAAATGATCTTTTTGATGCACAATAATAAACTGTTATTTAATAGTTATTTCATTAATTAATTGCACATGAAAATGATAATTACTGTGTAATAATTTCGCTTTGTCGGGTCGTCAGCTTCAACACACAGCTTTCAATCCACATGAATTTATAAGGAATTTAAGCAATTTGTCCTACAGTACATCAGTCTGTAATTTGCAGTCCACCAATTTATTAGCTCCAGGTAATTAGACATGTCTTTCTTTGTGCTTATCAGTGTGGAATTTATTTCCTGACTAATGCATTTTATGTTTTGTCTAAGTCAGGTTTCAGTCAGTTTCAAAGTAGAAATCTGGCAACTCTTGCATTAATTTTACTCTGCACAAATTTACAATGAAAAGTGTCTTAACCTTTCGTACCACTGAGTCCCAGTTAAAAAAACGAGTCCAAAATTCAAAATGCTTGAGCCTTTTTGTAACCAGACAGTTAATCTGAAGACAGACTCCAAAACTCTGTATTACAGTATACTGAAATTAAAATATATAGTCCTTCTATTTTAAAGCACAACTACAGTGTAAAGCTAAATGACATATGCACTGTTAAACAACAGCTGTAATAGCTGCCACAGTAAAATACAGGAACAGAATTTTTCTACAAAAACACATGTTCAGATTGATTAATCAATCTCTGCATCCTACAGGTTGCATATCACTAATTATTTTACGTCTTTGGAGATTCTTACGCATCAGGAACACAGGACGAAGAGGTAACAAAATCACTATTAATTGATCCATTAGAATACTTTGCAATCAAACTCAGAAAATTAACTGCTCTCATTGTTTACACTGATCAGTGAAAAAGAGCATATATTTTGTACAGTTTACAGTTCCACAGTTCCCTGGTTTGTATTAGCACTTAGAGATGTATGTATTAAGTGGCCGGGTATTCTGGAAGTCAACCTGGTTTGATCACATGTAGTCAAATATTAATCAATTAATGGAGACTGTGAAGAGTGCAGTCTGCAGACGATGAGCCCAGGCGGAGTACTCCCTTATATAAGCCATATACTGTAAGTATGTGGCACCCCAAAGGGTATGGTTTTTGCACTGATTTGGTCAGAAAACGGGTATAGACTTTGCCCACTTGATCTGGAATCGGGTATGGTTTTCAAGGCAACTATGGGAGTGTATGAATGTATTTCAATCAAATCAATCAATCAGTAGACTTTATTTTAAGAGAGCAGCATGTGACAGTAATGAAACTGATGACCCCATGGCCCTCTATACAATAAAACTTAAGATATAACATATTCAAATGAGCAATGACTTACACAATTACTGTACATCATTTCAATTCTAAATGAGTAAAAAAAAAGAGAAATATGTGAATTCAA